ATTATTTTGTATGGCTTTCTTTTATACAGGAAAGCCTTGGCCATCTGACTACTCATGTATGTAACACCTCTTACACTTTGTTTCTTTGGTAAAATTGAGAGCAAAATTCTAATTCTGAGGCAAAGTCGAATTTCGTTATGATGTAGAATGTGACAGAAACAGGACTAATTTTACTTACTGCAATGTTGACCTGAGGTTTTGGGCTCAGAGCATAAACGGTCCCAAATTGTCATCAGTGTTAATGTGGTTGAGGTTTTTCTTGATTTGGCAGAAAGCTGCCGGTTTGATAACAAATATAGTCCCTATTTACCGTGGTTTTTCAGCTCTGATTTGGCACTGTTTTCATTTTCCGTGTAGTGCTGATTTGTTGTCATCGTTGTGAAACACAGAAATAGTCATATCTTGCAAACAGCACTGTGTAAAACCATATGAAATTTCCAGTGTTCGACAATTTGCGTTCGAATTGGTTTACATTGATACGTCTATTCCTATGTAAATCTTGAAGCACAACTGTTTTTCCCCTTCGTTTTCAGCCGATGAATACAGCCGTCCAATCAGTAAGTATATGGTTTTACAAGATCTTTAACATAACAACATAACATAATGCAATAAATAAACATCATAAAAATACCCAAGAATACAAAGAAGATGAACAATATGGATTAAGCAAACTTAACAAAGCTAGACAAAACATCCATAATTCTTCTGAATGCTTCAACATTTCCTGTTTCGATTTCTTTTCAATAGTCGAGCCTTCGTATCCTTGTAAGTACATATCTCTGGTTTTTGTTAGTTCTTTCGGTGTCATTGAACCTTTATGCTTTTCTTGGATTATGTAAAGAAAACTTTTGAAAGTACCTTTTTGACAGACTATTTACTTGATGTGGTACAATAGAAAAAGTATTTACAAAATGAACAAATTAATTTCACTGTACTTTTAATCTTTAAACTTCTTCAATCATAATTATTTTCTTCACTTCACAAGGAGCCACACTGTTTTGATATAATTAAGACTCTGCAGATTTTCACTTTGAACATGTACGTGCATTTTGGCACGTCTGATTCGTGAAGCACACTTCTTACGTCTGAGTACTCGCAAGATGTAATGTTTTTAACAAATCAATGGCTGTTTTTTTTACCTACTCCCAACAGCTGA